TTATCAACTTTTTGAATTAGATTCTATGATTCTAACTCTTATCTTTATTTAAAATTTATCAACTTATTACTTATAGAACTATATTATCGATTCATATAATAATTGTCTCAATAATGATGGTTTTCAATGTTGAATTGATAAAATCTTGCTTAAAAATAATAATTTAAAAAAATACTTGAAAAAATCATTTATAAAAAAGATATTAAGTAATAATTTACATCTAAAAATTTAGAAAATAAATAAATACAGATAAAATTTATTAAATTTTAGGCCTCTAATTAAAATTTTGCTTTAGGCCTCGAATTATGTTGAGCCGCCCCTGCCTCCAAGATATTTCATACACGTATTCTAAACTTTAACCATGTCTCGCTACTTGTGAGTAAATATATTATCTCAGGAATATAAATAAATTTTTTTTTTGAAACAGCGGAATATAAAGGATTCAAGACTGTATTTGAAATATATCTCCAGCCCTAGCTTTATCCTACACAACATTCAGTACTGCTGCCTTTCTCTACCCTCTTATGTCAAGCCGTACAAAATAGAAAACCCTCCCCACTTGGCTTTACTTGAAATACTTGGCCAAACTCTAGTTCAGGATTTATCCATTTAAGCCAAAGAAAGCATCTCCAGGGTTGGATCAGATGGACTACATACTTATTTTAGATGGATGTTAGACCTCCTTTATTCAAAAATCTTTCACCAGTCCTCTTATATATGCCATTTGTCTTCAGTATGGTAAATTCTACCTTTTAGTGAAAAAAATTGACCAATAACACTGCAGATTATGCCTTTTATCAGATAGGTAAAGTACAACCTTGCTTATAAAGAGGATGTATCTCCCTTCCATCCTTCTACCTTGTTCTTTTTTTAACCATATCTAGAACCCTTTAATCCTAAGTAAAGTTTAATCCAACAATGAGCCACTTTCCAAGAAGAATAACATGCAATTATAATGGATGATATGAGGCATATGTGCATGAGTTAAATGTCATAGTGAATAGAAAACACATGAACGTCACAGAAACACAGAAACCAATGATTATAAGTTGAAAAAGGAGGCTAAGTTAGTGGTTACCGTGGCAAAGACGACAGCTTTTGAACACCTGTATGTTGAACTAGGGGACAAAGATGGAGATAAGTGTACAAGCTCACTAAGGCGAGAGAGAGGAAGCAGTACAAGAAAAATGGGAATTAACAACCAGGAAAATAGTCCCTAAAAGTCTATTTCTGGTCTTTAATATTTAATAGCGGCCAGAAATATCTGGTCATCTGGACCCTATAGGATTCGTAACTAAAGAACAATAACGACCGGATTTGACTGCTAGTCGTTAAAAGGTTCTAGGGACTAGAAAAATACAGTTCCCTAAATCGCATATATGGACCTCATTTCTGGTCCCTAATCATACATTAATTTGTACTACAATCTTCTAGGACCCAAAAAAATTGGTCCTTGAAGGTATTAAGGACTACAGATCTGGTCCTAAGAAATTGCATTCAATTTTCATTAATAGATCTGCTCGCCATTTTAAATACATGTTTTTTCATATGATATTTTTGAAATATATAACAGAAATTTCAATAGTAATATGCTGCTTTCATATATAAAATTTGCAATCCAGTACAAAATAGACTTCACATCCCACGATGTTACATCAGTAGGTTTACATAATCTTTTTCCAAAAAAATAAGTAATTTGTCTAACATTCCAACAAAAATGAACCAATTTGTACAGTCTTTTAAGCTTGCGTCTTGAGTTATAAATCCACGCCTTCAAACCTGGAAAAAAAAATACAAAATACATTTTCCTTAGAACTATAGCAATGGACTACAAAGTATTTCAGCTAAAAAAATGTTCAAATTTATAAAGACTAAGCCTATACAACATGTACTAGTAAGCTAAAAAGGTCAAAGAATGAAGGCTAAATAACAATCATAGTATACCATGTTCTCTCACAAGTTAAGCTTGAAACGAACATCAAGTATATATATATTATGTTAAGCCTCTATAATTGAAGTCCAAATGCTTCTACTCTTCTTCCAAATTCTAAAGATCTGTGATTCTAGAGCTCTTAATAGATCGTCTTTCAAACAAGTTTAACAAAATCAACCAAAAAAAAGAACAACATCATAGGTATCTCAAAGTAAGATCACTAAACAAGGAATCAGTAAACTTAATGAACTAACTTAACAAAGAGCATACTGCATGAATTATAGTAAGACTAGTGTTGTTTTCATTTTCTTTCTATATTATTAATCACTAACTAACGTAAGTGGGATATCGTTAATGCATAGACACAGCTCAGCTCAAAAGAGAATTATTCTTTTTGTGGATGTTCAATGAAATACCTAGTAATTTCTTCCTTAATATTGCAACTATCATTTTTAATCTATTAAAGAATTTTTATTTTCCTGTAAACCTCGTTGGAATAATGAATCTAAGTAAAAATATGATGTTAGACATCAACCAGACAAAAAGTTCAGGAAAATCTTAAATGGGGATCAAACAAAAGACAAGAATGATAATCACAGCTCAAAATTTTCTTCAAGTAAAAACCCAACAATGAAGAACAAGTGATGGATATTTAAGGTCGAAAAATATTAACATAAGAAAGTGCTAGATTACAAAAGATATTTCACAGACATATCTAAGAATAAAGGTTTCGCAACCGCCGTGAAATACCTTGAGCCAAAGAGAAATTTTCATCTTAGTAGGTTCATTCGGAACTATCAATAACCAACAAAGGTATGTGCAGAGCTCCAAATGCACGACCACAGAGATGCTAATAAAACTAAAATTATTAACACCTTCGAGGCTACCGAAAGAATTATTACAATTTGTATACTTTTCAAATTACGCCTTAATTTCAAACCTTATAATGCAATCAGTATTACTTGAAATCTTCATAAAAATGAGAATAAATGATATATAATATATTCTATTCAACACCTCTTGCATGGTATCCCAAAAAATGATATAAAACTTTGATATAGTCCTTCAGTTATGTTGGAAGTATCAGAGAGCAGACAGACCTATACCTCCCCTATCTCCCCTGTTCATCTTAAGAAAGAAAAAGGAAAGGGGACTTCCTCTTCTACTTTGCTAGTTCTTGGTTTATACTTTATACAAAAGCTAAACAATCTTCTTCCCATGAGATGAGAGCAATCTCTTCCCCCTCACACTAAAGCTAAGATGACCAAAACTAGTCAGATTTCAGACTGTTTCAGGAAACATAGCTTGTTGCATCAACGGTCAAGTGCAATTTACAGAGAACCAATTTCCCTAGGTTCCTCTTCAAAAGAATTCTTAGGCAGTACTAGGGCACCTTGTAAAATTATCCTAGAAGAAGAAGTTAACATATTTGATGTTCTGTTGCTTTTGAAGTTCAAAGGTGTTGGAAATATCAGTAATCTCTTCCTCTAGTCAAATATGAGGATATGAACTATAGAATGCCAAAGTTGACATACAAAATCTAGATAACCAGAAAATTCTTCAAAGATACCTCCCGCTGGACAGTGTTCAATAGAAGAATCACCCGACATACATTATATTATCAAGTCCAATATGTACACAATTGACACATGCACTACCTAACAGGTCAAAGTTGCATTTTAATCCAGTCAACAGATTCCATTTAAAAACCAAAAAAATGTTTAGAATGCCAACACAATATGAGTAAGGTCTAAAGTAAAATCGGAATTCACAGCGCACAAGAAAACATTGTTAGGAGGCCTCTCAAGACATCAGAACTACTAATCGTTGTACGAGAAAATAAGGAACTTAGAGATGAACACTTCTGAGCTGGAGATTAGTACATAAATAACAAAATAAACCTCATGTAAATAGGCGTGAGAATCTATCGTGATGTGGTCTGTGCTTCATTTATTTGCTTTAACCTGTTATTGTTATGCTTAACATTGGAGAAACAACAACAAGAATGGCTTCATTGCACTTAATTGAATGTTATGTTGTTTAAGCAAGTCAAAAATTGTGACAACCTAATAGAGGGTGGCATAATCCATTTCTTTAAAATCAATTATTTGGACAACATAATCAACAATAAAGTTATGCAGAAAACCAGTCCATGCTACAATCATCAAAACAACAAGTTATCATCTTCTCTACCAAAAGAAAAAGGGAAAAGAAAGAACGTTAAGGAACAATTGGTTTTCTGTAAAGACAATAGATTGAGTGAACAGTAACAATCCAAAGCTTTCTAATGCTAACTAGGATATCATCAACAAATGTTATTTTTAACAGTAATCAATCCATAAATACAGTTTTTAGCAAAAAAAGTCAATATTTAACGCTCCCACATCAGTGCTTGAGTTATCAGGCACAAACTTAAGCCAAGACAACAATAGAGTGGGTAAAAGAACACCAATTCAATCAATAAATTTACTCCAACACCTATAATCAATAAATAGAAATGGGTAAATCTCCACTCACCTAACCCACTTGCACTAGGTGTTTACACCTAACCAGTAAATACATGGCATATTTCATAACATTTATCACATAACCATGATTAATTAATTAATTTTCTCTAACCCTCAGGGGTTGGCCTGCTGGCAATTGACTTGAGCCTTGGGGTTTGCTCCCTTTCAAGGTCTCAAGTTCGAAACCCACTGGGTGCAAACAATTTCTGAGGGCCATCGGACTGGGTAAAACCTGAATTAACCGTGGTGCACTTGCGGGAAACTCCTTGCCGAGGGCCTGTGCACCCCCGGGATTAGTCGGGGCTCAAAGAGACTCGGACACCCGGTGCAAATCAAAAAAAAATTATTTGAGAGGTTTCTCTTCTTTACACATTTGTGAGTGTTTACTTGGAATTTATCTTACAAACAATTCTTTAAGAGGTAAGATTAAGTTTTGACTTGTTTTATTTTTTTTAATATAACTATGGTGTCCGGACTTAGCTTGAGCGCACCTCGACTAATTTCACAAGATACCTGCCACTTCCCATAGTAAGAGGGACCACATAACTCTATCCACCAAGGTTAGGACAGACGAGAAGAAACCACCTAGTGCTTTTTGTCTCTGTTGGGATTTGAATCTGATACCTTATAGTTCTCACCACTTCATTGACCATTAGGCCACACCCTTGGGTACCTTAACTTGATATCTTCGGTTTCTATTTAAGTTAAAGGAGGTAATTAATCTTATACTAATTATTGTCTCTTATCCGCTAAAATTAGGATTAAACCCTCAAATACCCAAATGTTTATCGTTACCGACTTTAAACACGTAAAGGAGTTTGGCAAACAAAGTAGCGACAATAAAACTCAAGACCAAAGACCACTATAGTAAATGCTTCATAAGTAATTGCAACTTTCTATCTGTCATGATCAGCATATCCACAGGGTATGCCATTCAAATTAATTAATTTTCTCTATTAACTTGAATAAAAAAGGGAGCCTACAGTATAATGCTCAAAACATTTACCTTATTTTGGAGGGAGTAATTTGCGACAGAAAAAATGCAAGTGAAGAGCTTTAATTAGCAAGTCCATCACTTAGTTTGGAGGGAGTAGTTTGCTACAGAAAAAACAGAAGTGGAGAGCTTGAACTAGCAAGTCCATCACTCCCTTTGGAGGAGTAGTTTGCTACATAATACAAGCGAAGAGCTTCAGCTAGAAAGTCCATCACCCCCTCTATAGTTTTATTCAAAAAACATATTCAGTGGCAGAATTCGATAGAATTTTTTCATCAAAGTATTTCTTTGATATGTTTTAGCCGAGATTATACTTGTCAAACGTAATAAGCTAGCTTTAAAAACCCCCCATAAAAATCATTGATAAGAAATAAGAAATTGAACTACTGAACCTAATGGTAAAAATGAATTCAACCAATTCGATGATACGAGCATGGGTAGCACCAACTATGAGATCCTTTTGAGCTCACAATAAGGATTCAAAGAGGATCTTGGATGGATCTTATGGAGCACAAAAGGATGGGCTTCCACATATGAATGATAGCTTGAATCGACAGCCTGTTTTGGGGATGTAGGAAGCACTTTGGCAAGCTTGAGCAACCTTTGGTGATGGCTAGCACACGTTGGCGAGCTAAAGCCATGTGGGCGATCATCAAACCAATTGGGTAATGCCATAACCTCAAAGAAAAAAACAAAAGACACAAAATTTTCTTGGCTTTCAAGCACGATCCCAAAACAGTCCTATAACACAAATTGCAAAGACAAAACCAATAGCATACACAAAACCCTACAAAAAACACACAAGTTTCTCCACCTCACAAGATTTAACCCAATACTCTCATATTTAGCCCTCACACAACAACAATCACTACTCTAAACAACTCAAATGCATCAGTTAAGAAAGAACAAAGAAACATAATTTCTTGTTTCAATGGAAAAAAAGATACGAAGTAGATAAAAGAGAAAGAAATAAAAAATTTACCATAGCCTAATAATCACTATGGTGGACAAAGCTTGTGTATATGCGTGAGAGATGAAAATTTGTTTGCAGTCCATCTGTTCTGAGATCTTAGAATTGAAATTTAGTGGTTGATTAGCGATGTGAGGGGGGATTTTCGGAGCCCATTTTTAGTTTATTCTGTTTTGGTTGCCGCCTCTCACTCAATATCGATTGGGACCGGATATTTACTTTTCTTTGGACTAAATATGTCCCTTCGTCTATTTAGAAAATAAAGATTCTTTTTAGGACCAAAAAAAGCAATCTCTTCCCTATAAATGTACTTATAGGGACCATAATTAAAACTTGTCGCTAAATCCTAGTCTTTAAAAGGCCCTTTTCTTGTAGTGAAGTGCATCAAAGACAAGGAAGGCAGGGTATTGGTGGAAGAGACTCACTAAACGAAGATGGCAAGCATACTTCCATAAACTCCTAAACAAGGAAAGGGACAGAGACATTGTGCTGGGTGGTATGGAGCTTCAATCGAGATTTTTGGGTATTGTATGTGTATTAAGTTAAGGAGGTTAAGTGTGTTATTAGTAGAGCGATCAAACCTGATGAGATTCCAATGGAGTTTTGAAAGAGCACACACAAGGCAAGTATGGAGTGGCAAACTGGGTCCTTTAATGTCATTTTTACGATAACAAAAATGCCTAAAGAATGGAGGTCGATGCGTAATAAAATGGTTCCGTTGTACAAGAACAAGGGTGATATCTAAAGCTACAATAATTACAGGGGTATCAAGTTGCTAAGTCACACCAAGAAAGCTTGAGAAAGGATGGTGGAGATGAGGGTGAGTGGTGTGTCCATTTGCAAAAACCAATTCGGATTCATGTAGGGTACAGAAGCTATTCATCTTGTGAGGAGATGGGCGGATAAATATAAGGAAAGGAAGACCGATTTACATATGGGGTATTGACCTTGAAAAGGCCTACAACAAAGTCTTGAGGGAAGCTCTCTAGAGATGCCTAGAGGCTAAAGGTGTACCAATGACCTACATTAAGGCAATTAAGGACATGTATGATGGAGCTAAGACTCATATTAGAATGGTGGGAGGAAACTCAAAGGACTTTCCAATCAAGATAGGTTGCACTAGTACTAGACACAGGGGTTGCACCAAGCACTTAGCTCGTTCCAATATGCCTTCGTGATGGATGAATTGACTAGGTTTAATTCAAGATGAGGCATTAAGATGTATGTTATTTGCAGATGACATAGTACTTATTGATGAGACATGCAACAGAGCTAATGTTAGGTTGGAGGTGTGGAGACAAACTCTACAGTCTAAAGGGTTCATGTTGAGCAGGACCAAAATTAAATATTTGGAGTGCAATTTCAATGATGCAATACATGAGGCAAACGTGGAAATGAGGCTTGACACGCAGGTTATCCCCAAGAGAGATAGTTTCAATTACTTGGAGTCTTTAATCTAAGAGAGTGGGGAGATCGACAGTGATGTCACACATCGTATTGACGCGGCATTGGTGAAGTGGAGGCTTGCCTCCGGAGTCTTGTGTGATAAAAATGTACAACTTAAACTTAAAGGTAAGTTCTACAGAGTGGTGGTTAGACCGACTTTGTTGTATGGGATGAAGCGTTGACTAGTCAAGAACTTTCATGTTCACAAGATGCAAGTTGCGGAAATAAGGATGGTGAGATGGATTTGTCGGCATACTAGGAGGGATAAGACTAAGAATGAGGATATCCCAGAAAAGGTGGAAGTGGCCTCTGTGGTGGACAAGATAAGGGAAACAAATCTGAGATGATTTGGACATGTAAAGAGGAGAAGTGTATATACCCTAGTGAGAAGGGGCGAGAGGTTAGATATAGTGGGTACGAGAAGGTAGATGTAGGTAAAAAAAGTATTGGGGAGAGGTAATTTAAGAGGACATGATGCATCTTCAGCTTAGCAAGGGTATGACCTTAGATAAGAAGGTGCAGAGGTCGCGAATTGTGGTAGAAAGCTGGTAGGTAGTGGAGTTTTGCTTGCTATTCGACAGGTTCGGGCTTGGTAGTGTCTACCATAGTATTAGCCTTATTCTTGTATTTCTTGTTGTTGAGAAAATAATTAAACAATAAAAGTGTGCTCTCTCTAACAGCTTAAGCTTTTAGATACGATGGTCACACACTTCAACACTTGCTTTTGATATCTTTCATCATTTGTTGTTTATTGTCTTTGGATTGCCATATTATTGTATTGTGTTGCTACTATTTCCTTATTAGTTGTTATGTTTATTTCATTGTCATTGTTCCTCTTCATACCTACTTCGATTTGTTGTACTTGAGTCGATAGTCCTTTGAAAACAGACTTTACCTCCTCGAGGTAGGGGTAAGATCTGGTACACTCTAGCCTCCCAGGTCCCACTACTTGGATTTCACTAGGTATGATGTTGTATGGCTTCCCCATAAATAAATGTCATTATCAAAACTTGCATTGATTCTTATGATTTACATCAAGAGAGTGGTGACAGAAAATGATCAAGTATCAAGAACTGATCAATCCTATCTATCCTTCACCTTCCAAGGGATGTCTAAATTTTCTACCGGTGTACGAGATTCATTTATAATGGAAGAGAGAAACAAGCATAAAGGAAGAGGTGTAATTGGATAATGTCCATTTCTACCTAATTCTTACCATTTAAAGGAGTCCATCAACTGAAGCAAGTAAAATGACAAAAATACAACTCAAATGTCATAGAATAAAGAGGTAAGATTCTAAAACGTTATTCATTCATGAGAAAATGCACCTTTCGACTCTTTTATACATAGCTTCTAAAATGAAGAGAAAATAAGAAGGAAATATATCCAAACCAAGGAAAAAGTTCCTGGGAGGGGGAGAAGAGGAAACTGAAGCAGAAGAAAATTCCAATAATTTAAAAGATAACTCTACCTCAACAACTTGGTTTTTCATGCACTTCAATGATGTCATCATCCTCCATCCCGAGACTACTGGGAGTTGCATTTGGATTAATTTTATCCCCGTCAAAGCAGAAAACCAAGTTTTGCAACTCAAGCTTGACTTTATCAGCGAACGACTTAAACAGCCTCTCAAATTTATCATCCTAAATGAATATAGAATAGGAATGTAAGTCATAATAACATTTCATTCCTGGCTATTAAGAATGACTTACGCATATCCTTTTCATGAACTAGAAAAATAACAGAGCGCAAAATAAGAGAAACAAACAGCATACAGAAATATGAACCATGATGAGTTTAAGATGATGTAGAAACAGCTTTGAAGTGAAATAGTTCAAGGCCAAATCAAAAAAAAAAACAAGCAATATCTTGATGATTAATGGCATGATAATGTTAATAAGTGCTGATTGCTTCAAGGCATGACTGGTAAATGCTTGATGAGCCTGGATGACTGTCATCTTTCTTTTTTTACGATAATTGTGGTGTTCAGGCCAGCTTGCGTGCACCTCGACTAATTTTCTGTCACCAAAGCTAGAATAGATGGGAAGAAATCATCTAGTGTTTTGTCTCAACTGGGAATTGAACCTAACACCAGATAACTCTGTCCACTAATGGTTAATTGTCAAAAAAGTTTTATTAAGATATGATGTTTCGATTTCCCGGATGGTAATTAAAGCAGTTGTTATTATAAAAGAAAAAAGGTCTGGTTTATTAAGTTCATCTACAAAAATAACCAATTCAATTGTAACGGAGAAAAGGTAGGAAATTAAATCCTGCAGCATTTGGTATATATTTATTCCATCATGAAAGCCAAGCTACAACAAAGTTGATTAGATCCTAAAGTGGCATCTACTTTATAAAATAGGACACTTCACAATTTAGTGATCTTCTGATGCACCTTTTTAAATTTTGTATTACATAATTTAAAGTATGTGGTACCACCAGCTATCTAGCACTCAAGTCTTTGAAGTTCCATAAGAGATGATGAAACCATCCAAACTAATTCCTTTCCCTGCATGCTAAAAGCACAAACGTATCTCCCTTATAGGAATAATTACCTTATCCTATGCTAATTCAACTCATTTATTTCTGCATATGTTACATGGACTCAAAAACTAGTACCAATAGATGTATGTACATTTACACGTGTATGTCGATCTTTTAGTGCATTTTTCTGGTTGTTAAAAAGCACTTGCACTGCAGTCATATTTGACAGTGCTTTAACACAAATGAAGTTCAAAGTAATGTAGAGTTTTATGCATATTGCATTTAAAGATAACAAGAAAAATACTTCAAAGAAATTTCTATACAGTTATAGAATTAAATCCTCCTATGATCGTGGCTTCCAAGGAAAATCAAATGATCCTACCACACACTTCACACACAACACTTGGCAGACAGTAAACGCGGGGGGGTGCAAAGCAAAATAGATAGAAGTCAACTTCAAGAAGTCGTATATTATAAGCATCATTGAGCATTGAGCTATACATATGTAACAGAATTTGAAACAAAAAGTGATTTAGTTTCTCTTATATAAACAAACTTGTTCATACCTCGAAATCAATAAAACACCAAGTACTTTTGTAGAAAGCACTATACATTCATGTGTTTTTTATCAGAAGCAATATACATTCATCTGTTTTTTAGCAGAAGCAATATACATTCATCTGTTTTTATCAGGAGCATTTATACATTTATTCTTAACTTCTTTTTTGTTTGTATAATATACATTATGAGTATATTAAGAATGAAGGAAAGATTACACCTCTTTTAAACATTATGGTGCACATGACATAACTACACAACAGATGTGCAAGCTTCTATATATGTAAATATATGAACTGCAACCCCAGGAAATACCGCATAAACGCGAAATTGCTTCGTTCCATCCTTGTCTTGGATAGAAATGACCATTTTAACTCTGTCAGTTGAGGGTTTTGACGGCATCTCAGCAACACTATCTTGAAGTGAATGGAGCGAAGCACTAAGATCTCTTTTTACAGATTCTTCAACATCTCGCAGCTCATCCTTTGCTGATTGGGCAAATGATGCCAGCTCTTTCTTTTTTAATCTACAAACAGCCACTCATAATAGTAAAGAGAAAAAGAGAAGAACAAGAGCAAGTGCAACTTAATTAGTAATACAAATGTTGTCAAAGACTACAGAAGCCTCATGTTTAAAGAAGATGAAAAAAGAATGACCCTTCCCTTTCACCAAACCCTAAACAGATGAAATCAAGCATAGGTCGGTGTAAGCTGTCATGGAACCAGAACGAATTTATTGATGAATAACAATATCAATGCTAATTAAATCTAATAACAAGAATGGATGGCAAATTCTATGCTTTGTCTACTTGACATAATCTACAACATCATCATATCTAGTATAGTGCCACAAGTGGGGTCTAAGGAGGATTTGGTGTACGTAGACCTTACCCTAGTCTACACCCCTACCTTTGTGAGGCGTAGAAGTTGTTTCCGATAGACCTTCGGCTTTTCAGACCTTTCGTCATTTGACATAATCTATTTATTTGAATTCAATTATCTCATTTAGGAACTTAACTCATTAAAGATTGGCTATACCGAAGCTAACAGAATTATCTAATCAGTTGCCACCTAAAGAAAACAGACATCAAGTTAGATATGCCAAAAGGGTATTAATATTTACTTGGAGAATCCAACTTTAAAAAGTGAAAATTCATAAGATCACGAAACTCATATTTCATTCAAAATAAAGGTGCACGAAAATTCACAAAATCACAAAACTTATATTTCATTAAAAATAATAAAAGAGCAGGAAAATCACCATACTCAAATCAGACACCAAATAAAAATTAATTCAATTGGGAACCCACAGCCATTAAGGTTTTGTCACGAAACATGTAATGCAAATCTCAAATCATTGGATACAAAAGAATATAGAAATCAAATAAGGTAGTATGAATTTACCTAATTTCCTTTATAGTTGAATCTTCAAGAAGGCTACTAGTATGAGCAGAAATGTTTGGGGAAGGTGGCAGCCAATCCTCTTCTTTTTCTTCGCAGTCAATTATTTGAACTGCTTCATTTTTGTCTTTTTTCTTTTCGGCCTATTGATTAAAGGATTAAGAAATTGAGAAAAAAGAGAATTTACAGAAGATTAAAGAAGAGAAGAGAAGTTTACAGTAGAATCGATCATTTTCCGTTTCTTTGAGATAACTGGAGACGAGTCTGGAGTATCATCTGTGATTTTTACTAGTATGAGCAAAAATCTTAAGCCAAAGTATGCACATACAACAGTAATTTCATTCATTTATGAGAAAAGGGAGCTGACCGTCAAGGCAGACAACATTGAAGGGAGTATTGAAGGGCTGAACACGTCTGTAATCAAAAAGCGGCTCCAGTTCTTCGTTGGATTCATCCTGCGAACAAAAAAAATATCAAATTCCCAAACCCTAAGATTAACACCTTTACAACACCACAGAACAGAATAGCACCATTTCAGAATTCCTTATAAGATTTCGATTGATTCGCCCACAACAAAGTCCCAAACCAAGTACCGGATGGAGCAATCCTTTTTCTTTTTATTTTGGTTGTCAAAATTGAATAAAGGTGTTTGTATTTTTTGTCATTTATAAACTTATTTGAGGACCAAGTTACTATTATAAAAACTTTTAATCTTTCTTAAAATATATATACACTCATTCCTTAATTACCAATTTAATTACTTATGTTCAAATAGTACATGAAAAATGGAGTTAGATGGTTAAGATGTAACAAGATTAAGTATCAAAATAAATTAGGGGTAGATTAAAAGGGTTGTGTATACGTTTGACCAAAAAAATATCTTATGGTATAATATATACCAAGTCATTAATATTGTTTTTCTCTGGAATGTGGTTAGCTTTCTCAAACTGATAATACATTTAAGAATATGAGTGAGAAGTTGTCAAATCCTTGTTAATGTGAGGTTCAATTAAAAGCAATCAACGTATCTAAATCTTGAATATAATATTCGGTCATATTCTACTGACAAACAAGTGAATAATACTTGGAAACAAAACCACAAACTGGGCTATTTGAATGAACAAAATGCATTTATACCTACTATCATTTAGAACCTAACCATATTTTCAATTCAAGGTCATTTTCCAGTGGTAGTTAAAGATGAACGGTTCAGTTTGGCCATTTGGGTACTACACTCTAGAACCAGAAAGAGGCTGGCCCAACTTAAATGAGATATGATAGCTTCGGTATTGATCTAACATTGTTGCCAATACACTATCTTCAATTTGCTTGAGAGAGAGAAAAATCCACAGCAGAGTCAACAAATGAACAATATATTGGCCAAATCCACTGGATTTCTAAAACAGAAAAGGTATACAGTTGTGTTATTTTCAATATTCCATTTCTTGAACTTCTCATCCTCCCTTAATATCTTATCATTAACAGCTTCAATACCAGAATTTACTTCTGCTAAGGATTTATTTAGTAATTCCACTCCTTCAGCTCTACAGTATACACCTCTTTCCTGTTCTTTACTACAACCATCAGATTGAATCTTATTTCACTTTGGGAATACCTTTCAATACGTTCCTGAATAACTGGTTGCACCATGCGCAACCACTCAATATCACTTTGCCCACCCAAGACTGATTGGTCCCTCCTTCAATCCATCAAGCTCATAGAACACATCGTCCACATGTATATAGCTGATAAAATTATATACATCATCATCTTTTCCAACAGTTTTCTGCTCCTCAAGCACAAATGGCTCAGGTCTTGCAAAACTATTATGGGTTGTATGAATTACTGCACTGTTATTGATAGCTAAACCTTTAAGCTCCAGTGGGAAATTCTTTGTGAATTCTTTTAGTGCAAATAATTCTAGACCAATATCAACATCTAGATTGTTCAGAAGGATTGAAAGGATTGCTTGGGTAGCACAAGCATTGTTTATCACATGTTTCACATCATCAAGAAAGTTACATGTCATAGTGCTAAGAAACTCCTAGTAGTTTAACCACATATATCATGTAAAGGTATTTAACCTCACTAGCAAATAATTGGTTTGGGTTTGGGTCCATCATCTTTTTCACTAGAACGCTATTTGAAAAGGAATATCAAACTGTACACAGGCTTGTAAAAATTAAAACATAAAATTATTATTTCCTTTTTTTGAAAAACATGGAGAACAGCAAGCTCGAAGCCCCTGAGAATAAATTATTCCACAAAACCATACAACTAATGCTCAAGTGGCAAAATTGATTCACCTAAGACTGTTGAGCTCATCAAGATCCAAAGAATACAACTCCTCAACCTGTTTCAACATGGAATAGTATGAGAAGATAAAAAGTTAAATCACCCAAAAGAAGGTAAACTAACCATTATAACAGCCCATCCTTCCCAATCCCCCCACATTTCCTTTTGGATTTTCTCATAGGAAAAGTATATCAATCATAGCTTATCAACTTCTACAGTGAGGGCAGAAGAACCCCTCCATATAGAAATGAGATAACCACAAAGATATTGAAAGAGTTCTTTTTTTATTTTTTTATTCTTCTGGAGAAAGTAACAACTTGTATTCTATTTCCAAAAAATCAAAAACCTGCCACAACAAGTTACAGATTTCCTAATTACAATTGAAGTAAGTGTATCAGGAAGATCTTCAACCCTTTAACCAAAATTCCAAAGAGCTTAAGACATCTGTAACTGATTCTAGATCTTCCATATATTCCTATTTACACCAAAAATAAAACAACACTAAACAATTCATCTTCATCTTCTGGATGAAGTTGTTCTTGTTCTGGAAGCACCAAGAAGATACAAAGGGATTAACAAACAAACATTTGTCAGCTTTTATACCGTTGAAGTACTACAAAACTAATGAGCTGACAAAATCCTCAAAAAACATCAAAATTATTAACAGGGGAAAGGTTAGCCCAACTAAATAGGCTAACCGACATCTAGCCTTCAAAATCCTATTGAAGTTAATACGCCATCAAAACATCTATGATTCCTCTCGATCCAAATACACCAAAAAATGCTTGCAAGCACCATGTTTCAGATTTTTCTGATGGTCTTGTCAACTTCCGTTGAGCTCCTTCTCACATAGGCATCTCTTACGAATAAAGGCACTGCCCATTTCAATCCAAAAATATTTAGAAACAGATTCCAGATGTCTGTGGCCATAGAGCAGTGAAGGAGCAGGTTGACTAGCACATGAAACATTTGTTTGCTAGTGAAAAGTTCTTTCTAGTTAAGTTGTCTTGGGTGAGTCAAACACCCTTTAGAGTCAACCAACACTTTAGGTACATCTTGGTGGCTCCCGAGTGAATGGAATACTGGTAACTATGGGCTTCCATTAAGATTTGTTCCCTCTAGTCATCAATATTCGGAACACATAAACGACCTTGATATCTAAGCACACCATCTCCCCCTTGGGAGAAATCCTCAACGGATTTCTTAAGCACCGTTTCTTTCAACTCAACCAAAATTGGATCAAGACCTTGCTTAGCCTTCACATCCATCACAAAGGACGATTCAGACCCGTTATGGACCATGACACCACCTTTGGTGGAGTCCACTAATTGAACACCTAATTGGGCCAACCTATGAACATCCCAAACTAACTTTTTCTTTACATCCTCTACATGAGCAACACTACCCATCGACAACCGACTAAGAGCATCCGCCACCACATTTGCTTTATCGAGGTGATAGAGGACACTTATGTCATAATCCTTCAATAGTTCTAGCCACTTTTTTTGGTGGAGATTCAAGTCCTTTTAACTAAACACATATTGTAAACTCTTATGATCGGTGAAAACATCAACATATACCCCATATAAATAATGCCTCCAAATCTTTAAGGCAAAAACAACCGCCGCTAAATCAAGGTCATGGGTAGGATAATTCTTCTCATGGGTATTAAGCTACCTTGAAGCATAGGCAATAACCTTACCATTTTGCATAAGCACACATCCCAAACCAAACTTTAGAGGCATCATAATACACCACAAAACCATTCGTACATTTCGGTAACGTCAATATCAGAGCGGAAGTAAGTATATCTTTCAACTCTTGGAAACTTTTCTCACAAGCTTCCGACCACACAAATTTAGCCTTCTTTTGAGTTAAAGTCGTCAAAGGAGAAGCAATAGAAGAAAACCCTCAACAAACCTTTTATAGTAACCGGCCGAACCCAAGAAGCTTCTAATATCCAAAGGAGTTAGAGGTCTAGTCCAACTCTTGATCACATCTGTCTTCTTAGGATCTACCTAATTTCCTTGCTTGACACAATATGGCTAAGAAAAGTTACGGACCTTAACCAAAATTCACATTTGCTAAACTTTGCGACAAGTTGTTGGTCCTTAAGAATTTGCAACACAATCCTCAAATGGTCAATATGTTCATTCTCACTTCTTCAATAGATCAAAATATCATTAATAAACACAATTACGAGCATATCAAGGTATTGTCTAAACACCTTATTCATCAAATCCATAAACGCCGCCAGAGCATTAGTCAACCCAAATGGTATTACCAAGAACTCATAATGATCATACCGGGTCCTAAAATCCGTCTTTGGAATATCATCATCCCTCACCCTCAATTGGTGATAACCCGACCTAAGACAATCTTAGAGAAGTAACAAGCCCCTTCAAGTTGGTCAAACAAGTCATCTATCCTTGAAAGAGGATACTTATTCTTAATGGTCACCTTGTTCAACTGACGATAGTCAATACATATACGAAGAGACCCATCTTTCTTTCTAACAAACAAAACGGGAGCACCCGATGGAGAGATACTCGGTTGGAGAAAACCCTTATACAACAAATCCTTTAATTGCTCTTTCAATTCCTTTAACTCAGCCGGAGCCATTCTATAAGGAGGAATAGAGAGAGGTTGCGTATCCAGGATAAGGTCATACCAAAGTCTATTTCCCGCTTGGAAGGAATACCGAGTAAATCATCGAGGAACACTTCCGAAAACTAATTAACAACGGGGACCGACTCAAGAGAAGGGGTTTCAGAATCTACATCCCGCACCCTAACAAGATGGTAAATGCAACCTTTTGAGATCATATTTCTAGCTTTAAGACAAGAGACAAACCGACCTCTAGGCATAGAATTTCCCCCATTCTACTCTAGGATAGGCTCATTTGGGAACTGAAACTTGACTACACGAGTTCTACAATCTATAGAAGCATAACATGCATGCAACCAATCCATACAAAGAATCACATCGAAATCTAACATGTCAAGCTCTACCAAATCAACAAGAGTAACTCTATGGGATAAGGAAACGGGACACTTTCGATAGACCCTTTTAGCCACCACAGAATCACCAACAGGAGTAGAGACAGAAAAAGGTTCTAACAACACATCCGGAGGAACATCAAACCTCATAGCCACATATGGTGTCACAAAAGATAAAATAGCACTTGGATCTAGTAAAGCATACACATCAAGTTTAAAACTTTTAACATATCGATAACTACATTTGGGGAACTCTCTTGGCCACCTCTAGACTGGAGTGCATAAAAGCGGTTTTACTAGGGAGCATTGGAACCCGAACCACTAGGAGGATCTTGCTTGCATGTATCTTCCTT